TYYYCMWTTTCACTATAMGTCACAGCGRCCATCTTGGAGGAWYTTTAACAAAGGAKTWCTTATTWGTATCTATTKTTCATTCCTCYRACATGGCTGCCGGTCTTTTATGATTTGAATATCATGGAAATAGTTGAAAACAATCCATACCTAATCAAAATGATTGCTTCTTTTATACCACTTACGTTTGATCACATACATGTATTTTTTTCATCTCAGACACAATCTTAGCCAAAGCATAAGAAAGGGAAAGAGAGCAACACATTAAWTAATACKCATGCGCAAAATTTGACTTGACTGTTAACTACAGCGATAACAAGCTGCATGCTGGTAGCAGCAGACTAYTAGATTTTGACTAAATAAACAYCCAAGCGCATTCATGCATGTCCAAAGCTATCTAAACACACTGGTGGTTGTACCAAGAGTGAATGGTGTTCTTCCATGGATAAATATTGTATGGGAATAGCTACAATAGCTTTATACGCTTAGTACAAAAGGCCAAGATATACTGCTTTATATGTGATATGGAAGGACAGAAAGTAGTCAATCTACAGCTTCCTTCTGCATACAAAATCTTTCCTCTCACCACAGCACGCTATCTGCCAGGCAACAGCTCCGGTGGTCACAGACAGGCAGTCAGAGTTTAGGTCTGTTGAAATATAGTAGAGAGAATATTACATGGTGGCTTAAAGATATTGATTTCATTTTCTCTCGTATTAAAAGCAAAATTTGAATTCGTTCCTGCGCTCGCTTAAATACTTTTTTCACCACACAAATTTTCGAGTGAAAGGACGTAAAGTTCGCGCATCATGCCAAATARAGCTGATAAAAATCACCAATATTCACGAATATATACAAAATAAAAGCCTTTTTTATTGCGCTCGTCCTAAATAGAATATATTGATCCTCTTATCAATAAGAATAATTAGAGAAAATGTGTGAATGACACTGCTGAAAAAGGTAGTACGTAACGGCTGCTCATCGGGGGCAAAAACATAGACACGAGTTCCGAATGGCGGGGCTAACATTAAGGTGTTTCGATCGTAATGAATAGCGTTTCGCGCGTAATTTTAAACTCCAATTACGTCACAAATTTCGATTCTATTGCACTCAAATTTTCACAGAAGTAACAGTGACAATCGATAATTCTTGTTGATAAATTAATTTGATTTACTGACGAAGTTTCAATAAAATCTGAACCTAAAATTTCGAGTTGTTTGAKCAAAATGATGTACATTCGAACAACTCGAAATTTTAGGTTCAGATTTTATTGAAACTTCGTCAGTACATCAATTATGTTATTAAAAAAATGATTCTGAAAATTTTATTACAATCTCTGCGATGAGTTTCGAGAAAATTAACTTTGACGAAAAATGAAGGTGTTTTTATTTTGCATCGTTTATTTATGCCTTCGCTTTTTGGCAAATTAATTTATCAACAAGAATTATCGATAGTCACTGTTCTGTGAAGATTTGAGTGCAATAGAATCGAATTTTGCGACGTAGTTGGAGTTTAAAAATACGCGCGAAACGCCATTTATTACGATCGAAACACCTTAATTCAGACGCAATCGGCCGACAGCGAATATCGGGGCTATACTTGAAAGTCATGTAACTACGCTAGATTGACGAAATCATTCACGTACCTTTCAGAAGTTTTACTTGATCGGCGTTCAGGGGTTGATTAAAGATCACAATATCTTTGATTCTTGCTGTCATTGCATTTGATGGAGCATCTCGTTGATAACCAATATCAAACACGTTAACATTAGGGTTTGGAAAGTTGAGGTATTGGGRAYGTATCWCAGGAGATATTYCCGATGCCACTTGAGTACCATCGCGGTACAGAAATGCTTTTCTTTGTCCCCGGTCTCACACAGCAACGACATTGATCCATTGGTTCTTAGGCAAATTACTAAAAGCAACGTTAATTAAAAGCAATTAGAAAAGAAGATAACAGAATCATAAGATCGTTCATATGATATAAGTAATACAAGAACCACTTCGTGGAACACACCGTGTCTAGATTACGTGTAACTCTTACATATCAGCTACATGATTGATTTGATAGATACTGCGTATAATCTTCTCACATCATTTTTTATTAAAATTTTTATTGTTGCAGCGAAAATTTAGCATTGGGATTGCATTCGCATTATCCTCAGAGAATTTATTAGATGAAAGGTCGCTTATCATTTTAGAAAGAAGATAAAAATAAGTATAAAGTATATAAAAAAAGAAAGAAAGAAAGAAATTATAGGAATTCTTTGGAAGCTGCTCAAGTCGAGAATCGAACCCGCGATCTTAAGTTCGACGCTATTCGAGTATGATATCTATCTATCTATCTATCTATCCGATTAGTATTCTCATCGGTTTGCACATGAAGTCATCAGTCGAAAAAAAAATCTAAAATCACAGACACACAACATTAAAGTACTAAAATACCTTGAAGAGCATGATAGAAGTTCTCTCTGAAAGTTTCACCWTTTTTTGCWGTTTATTCGTTGAGTTATTAACGTTCAAAAATATGCCACGCAATACTGTCAAGCTACTTGAAACACGCCAAATTAACCTCGGAAAGCCTATAAATCTTAAAACAAGTATAGTCTCAGCATTATTGAATTAATTTTTTAGAATGATATCAGATATTTTACTTTCATATATAGTTATGTCATGGTCACAATATTCATTGGAGATGCCGATTTTATCTTGTGTTGAAAATCTTTTACTAAGCTAGACCGCATCACGCTTTACAAGCGTCTAGTTTTGCTTAATTTATAAGAGTGAATGCTCTGACACAGTAAACAGCAAGAGAATCACAGACCACTGTAGAAAGTGAAGTACAGATCAGGCATGCGGGACACCAGGTGATTCCAAGGGATGCACAGAAGAAAAAGTGACTTAGAATTTATTTTATTTCAATCAATATGTTCAATATGYTGAATAACTTATTAGTTTATTTACATTGTCAATCATTAGCGTGCAAAGTTACTGATTGCATCTTTTTTTGTTCATATTTTTATGATTTGTTTGCCAAAATTAAGATTATGCTGTACATTTACCGTTTGCTACACCAGTCCTAAACCTTTGATAGATTTTTACATTTGCATTATCTGTAGATATTTTGAAATTGAACTTTTTAGAACAGTTTGGTAGGTCATTGATATAGATAAGGAATAACAGGTGTCCTAAAGTACTTCCCTTGGGAATGCCGCAGGTAATTGTTTCTTTTTCGGATTCGATAACATTTATGTACTGTTTACAACATTAGACTTTATTGAACGGCTTCAAAAACTCCAGCACAAATTTGAAACTCAAACCCGTTAGGATTTTTAGAGAAATGGTCGTAAAAATAAGATTTGAGATAAATGGGGCAAACTGAACATGCGCGAATCAATTTACAAATCTGTCTTGTCATCCCACATTGAACACGCATACAGCAAAATAGAAAAGCTGGTGGCTGTTTTACTGTATTGAGTTGACATCCTCTTCTTTATAGAAAGAATAGTCGGCGAGACTGTAATACACGAGGTGGAAGAAGACAGAAATTCAACGTCTACAAATACGCTCAAATCACTTAAAAATGTCCACACTTTTCGTGGGATAGCCAAACTAAAATATGACGAGCGTTTTTCCGAATAGGAATTTCAGGAGATACCGTAAATTTAACGAGAATTTATCTTACTGTCTATCGAGATCGAGTCTATCGAGAATTGTACACCATCAGGGCTTTATAATATAATAATTATAATTATAATTTTATTTTTATACAGCGCTTATACAAATCTGCTCTAAGCGCTTTCAAATTACAAACAATTACAATGACAGAGT